TGATGTAAACGTGATTTGCAGGAAATATACCGACGAATACGGAAGGTTCTTCTGTTTGCCGTAAATGAGATACCACGTATCCGCGATACCATGCGCCTTGTTCTTCGAATACGTAAATTTCATCTCCAACTTCTAACGAGACTTGATATTGTATTATAGGCGTTGTGGAATTATTCGACAACATTGATGCTGAATCAGAGCCACCATCTTGACTTGCTTTAATAGAGTCTTCAGAGTTGTTGATAGCTCTGGGAGAGAAGGGATAGATTGCAAATCCATACGCGAACCTAGGCAGGGGTGTCCAGACGGGAGCGATTGGAGTGGAGGTTGAAATGGGAGTGGAAGTGGAAATTGGAGTGGAAGTGGAGGAGGCAGACGTGGAGGTGGAAATGCGATTCGGAACGGAGATGTGAGTAGAAGCTGTAGGAGAGGGAGTGGTGCTGGAAGTAGGGGTGACAAAACTGGGACTAGAGCTAGACGTAAACGTGGAGGCGGAGGAAGGAACGATAGAAATAGAAGCGGAAGTGGACATTGTATATATGTATGGATATATGTAAACACTTTACTAGTACAATTGTTTTCGCCAACAGACAGATGATTTATTATTCAAGAAGAGTCGTAGTGTTCACGTAAGTTGTCTTTTTGTTTTTTAAACGTAATTAATTTTATGTCAGTGAATTTATTGCAAAAGGGAGCGTTTAAACTGAACGTAAAATGCCGAGCACGACAAGAAAGCTACCTGTCTTTTTGGTCGTTATGTACAATATTGTGTGTGGGGGATACGTTTCGTAGTTGGTTTGGGACGTAATCAAAGGAGAGCTGTCGTTTAGATCGTGTATTCCAGCTTGAGGGTGACTTGCACCGCCAAATTATAGTCTCCAAGTAAGCGAAGATGAGAGGGAAAGTGTCCCGTTGTTTAGGAAAAGAAATTAAAAAGTCAAGAAAATACAAATATACAAATAACCTTTTCTTTTGTAGGTTGCGAGTTTGTTTACTATCTATTCACGTTATTGTGTTACAGTTTATACATTAATTTTTTAACCTAGCAATTGTGATAGGAGTATTTTTTTTTTCCGTTCCAGAAGCATTGAGGTATAATATTGTTATTCAATTCGAGCCATTCATGTTGGTGATTGCTAGATTTGAACGTTTATTGTATTTTAATTTGTCAAGTGACATTTCATACGATATGGCTAATTCTACCACGACAACATCTTCTTCTACTACGACTACCACGGCTGCTCCTGCTGCTGCTACGACTACCGCCACTGCTACGACTACGACTACGACTACTACTACGACTACTGCTACTACTTCCCCACATAGTGATAATCTCAATACGGATGATGGACTTGATCTCAATAGTTTGCTAAGAGATATCGATAATGCCGAGGGAGCTTTGGACGAACTTGATGGACGTCTTGACGACTTTCATGCTAGAGCCGATGCACTATTGGAAGATTGTGACACACTCCCACCGGTGTCGTCAGACCAATAAGTCAGTGTCTAAATAGTGAGTAAATGGCAGATACAGGAACGATCACTTGGCAAGATCTCATACTGCGGGTGATAAAAAAGATCTCATTTTAATTTAATTATCGTAATTTCTTTTTTCCTAATTAATTAAATTCAGTATAACGTATGTTGCACGAACGGAATACATATCCTCTTTCCAACTTTAAATTAGAATGTGAGATGAATTTGTATTAGTGGTATGGGATTAGTGACATTCACAATTACCATTTAGCGATGGCTCATTAATTAATGAAATTACGTTTACAGTCGTGTGTCCGTACGTCACTAGCATCATTAACCAATGTCTTGTTGATTATGAAAATATGGGTTAACCCTGCTGACTGCATTCTTCGTTCCTATGTAGTTGGCTTGTCCTTCTAAACAGCATCATGCAAACAATTTATTTAGTCGATGGCTAAACACCCATACAAGCAATTCTTGGTATGAGATACAGAATATACATCAAGCAATATGATTCGACAATTTATCACGTGAGTAACGCAAAGTGTATAAACACATATCGAATGGTGCAAGAGTGTATATTATGATGAACGCCCCGCAGGTTGTGCAAAGATAAAATTGGAGTAATAACGATCGTTTATGTGACAAACTTTACTCGGTCAAGGTGGCTAGATTATTGGTATATTAAGCTTTGGTGCGAGTCCCTAGAACGTAACATAATCGGTATTATTGGTACAGTTCCCGTTATGATCAACGCCGAATTCGAAATTAATAAAAACGTTTGTTGCTATCAACGCGAACGATAAATCATTCTCGATAGGATCGGCGAGCGACAAACGAACATTATGTTTGCACGTGATTAAATACTATATGACCAGACATTAGGATTTGATAACATAAAGCGAAAGCATGGTACATAGTTCATCTCCAATATTTAGTCAATAATAAGGTACACGAAAAGATATTGGTTATCAATAAGAAATCGACTAGTTATTCTCAAATATTATGTTAAGTAACTGGATTTAGTACAAGTTGCACTAAATAACTTGTGCAAGAAGAGAAATATCAAGACGACTACTAATGAAAACATGTCGAAATACGAAGAGAACCCATTCCTAATGGTAAGCGTATCGTAAATTCAAAAACATTACGCTGTAGAGCCATCAGAACATCAACCAACAAAATTAGTAATACCATAAATGTATAAACAAACTATCCACCCCACCCCAGATGACATTACTGGTACGCACTAATAGTGACATAATCAATATAATAACAATGTAAAAGTGAACTAGTAAAATATTAAACATAACAATAGCTAGAATTGAATAAACAATTATTCAATGCGACAGAAAGCATTTTCTGAACAATTCGACCAAACAATTCATATAACATGGTTAAAGCGATTGTGTGATGATATTTACAAATTGTGGGCACAAATCATATTTTGCATCACGATGGTATCACCGCACAACAAGCGGTTTAAATGCAAAGCTGGATTTTCGTGATCACCAATTCCATTGGCAAAAAGATTCGTAATAGTAATACGCATAATATTAGTTGAGTAATTCAACCCACCTGATAGAGGGTGATTTCTCTTCATATGATTAATTTTTTTATATTTGCTGCCTAGTAATCATATGGCAACTGAATCGTACGTAAATGATAATGCCAACCAAGCTGTATCTTTGGTTCTTGAAAACGCACTCAATATTTTTATTGTAATGATTAGTTTATATAATCAATCGTTTAAGTAAGAACTTTGCAGTTCGAAGCCAATACAATACGAATGTTTGGTCACATTTAATTTTATCAGCCAGTTACCGCCAGTTGGGAAAGGTTTTATCGATTAATAACTCTTATTTTTTTCAAGGTTAACTTAAAAACTAATGTCAAAGCTGACTTGACTCAAATTTTAACTTGCATAATTTCGCAGATAAACGAATATATTGCACACAGCTTAGTAATAATCTTACATTAAACTCGGTTTGTGTCAAAATTTGCAAATAAATATTGATGCCCGATAACGCTCAATTAACGTTCGAGTGAATAAACCTGAATTTTATAGATAATTTAAGCAATAACAATTGTATAAGTAACTAAGAACACATCAGATATAATATAATATAATCAATATTACCCAAACTTTTGACTGTAAATTGTGTAAACGATTAATATTTAAACATGAATAACTTGGTCACCGAGTAAATCAAGGTTGCATAACTTAATTTACGACATGTCACAAGTTGGCTTTTACAGTGCTGGACAAAAGCAATGGCGGTAGGTGCGCGACTTTGGTTTTGTTGATGGCATCACCGTGTCGCGTTTTGGATGTTTGTTTACAATATCAGATTAAATAGCAGAACAATAATTTAAAATACAAACAATAAAACACAAATGTAGAGCTTGACTTTACACTCATTTTAATTTTTAAATGACACCTACTCCTATTAAAACAAACCGTAAACTTGTTAATGTATTTTTGTTATTTATGGATAAAAAGTTGTTTGTGATAGAAAACGTTCAGTTTAAGCGCAAATATTGGCGCCTTGCAAGACAGCGATTAACTCTTTCCAAACGCGTTGTCAATAATAGCGTCGTCGCCTTTGTCGCTATTGTTGAGACGTACAAAGCCATCAGATGTATGCTGGTTGACAATAACAATGTTGGCGAGTAGCATTGAATTACCGATTGTAAGTTACAGTCAGTTTGGAGGCTGCTCGTGGCAGTAAAAAATAATTTCAATATAGACATCACGCAAACCAATCAAAATCAAGAAAACTTGGTTATATGGTGGGTTGATGTACATTCTACAAATGTACGGCGAAACGCTTGTCAAATGCAAATGTAAAACAACTTTACTACGGCATCACTTACTAAGTAGTCAATTACATAATAAATCTGATTATTATTTTCATGAATGGCATTAACTGTTATGTAATCGTCATAGATAGAACTGGCTCACGTCTTGCAGTAGTTTGGATCAATCACATGGCGTTTTCAAAAGGGTAATGGCTTTTTAGCTGACATTAGCAAAGTGGGGTGAGTTTCCTTTTTCATCAGCTCGTAATAGTCAATCGTGACTTAATTATCGGACATGGATGCGAAGTTACATAATAACCCATTCGTTCTCGCACACATTGCTTTGATTGGAGATGCGTGTTTATACGCCCAGTGAACAAAAGTTTGTTTGGCGTTAGCCAGCGATTATCGCACCCATAATGGAAAATAGAATTTTTTGTGGAAGGCAACTGCAAAAAAGATAAAAAGGCGTGGATTTCCGACTTTGCCTGTTTCTCGCCGTTGCAGTCGGTCGAACAAGATTTTTTGCTAGTTAAAACAATTGTTAGCTAATAAAAATGTCTATGGCACAAGGCTACTCTTACTCTGGCTCTTACTCTTACTCTTACTCTTATCCAACAACAAGCTCTGTTGATGAAGAGACAAACATTAAACCAGTCTCTTGTACAGGTGGCACTTTTTGTTATACGATTGGTGGGTTTGTCGGCCAACAATTTTCACGAATGGAAAAACCTACCAAGAGAAAATGGCGTAGCGATGCTCCCAGGTGGAGAGGAGCTGCGGGTGGCTTAAACCTCGAAGGTGGGGTAAACAAGTTAATACAATATTTTGTAAATGAGGCAATTTTTTCAATTTAATACTTTATTTTTTGCGCTAACGAACGAACGCTATTTTGATTTAGGATATTGTAACAATTCTTCCTGTGACGCTGACGGAAAACTGGTTATCCACCGATGGGGTTTCAAAAACTCGGGCATCTTTAACTATCATGACAATGAAGACGAGTGTTATTGTCCCCTTTGTGGGAATTACATTAGACCTATCACGTGTGGCTTTACCAATTGTGAATGGAAAGTAACTGGTTCCAAGAAGAATTCCTACGGAGAGAAAAGTCAAAGAATTGACACTGGTTGGCAAGTTGCCCTTAGTAACGGGTATACTACTTTTGACGATAGTCTTACCCAACTCGCTATATGGGATAATCTCCAAATCGAAGTTAAAAGTCTTAGTGGTGATAGAGCTTCGATGCAGGCTGCCTTATACTAATAAAGTTACTTTTCCCATCTTTTGTGTGCGAAAATCAAGGATTGCTTAAATATGTTTCACTAAAAGCAAATATATCCATAAACAGAAAGCGGTATTGCTTATCGTTATCACAATCACACACCCTGCACGCTGTAACACGGCCCCAGGCTCGGAACCCTTCACGTGCAAATCATCCAAAAAGATGCCGTTTACTTATTATTATTATTGACATAATATATTTTCTTATCATTCAAACAAAGTCACCGTGATTTTTGTCGATCAATTAGTAAAACATATTTAAACCCATCTTTTTCAAACATTTTTAATATCAAAATTTCTTTACGTAATTGGCAATAAAATTGCATCATTTGAAAGCTAAATGGCAGTGCTTTTCGAAAAAATTTTTTATAATTTTTTATCTTTAGTGTTACAAAAGCCACACAAGGTCACGTTTGTAGGACATAATTCCGCACATCGCCCGATTTTAATTTCCGTTAAAATCGAATGACTTTGAACGTTCATAACACTCTCAATATTGCGAATATTTGAACAAACTTTTTTTCCTCCAAACACACAGAACTTGGAGATTATCAAAAAACATCTCAACTTTATTCGTAAGATGTCTGGAAGGTGTGAACTGAGTGAGTTTCAACGTGGAGAAATTATCGGAGCGTGGAAAATGGGCCATAAGGTAGCCGACATCGCCAAAGTCTTAGACCGTCGGTACACTACTGTCAAAGATACTATAGAACGTTATAAAACTCATCTTACTGTAACATGTACCAAACGTAGTGGCCGACCACCGAAGTTAGATGATCGAGATATAAGACATTTAGTGAATGATTTAAAGAAAGATCGTGCTGTGGCAGTTG